CGGGCTCAGTGGCTCAGCCTATAATCCCAGCGCTTTGGGAGGCTGAGGTGAGTGGATTGCCTGAGCCTGCGGGCTCGAGACCCGCCTGGGCAACTTGGTGAGACCTCATCTCTACAATAAATCAAAAATCAGCCAGGCGTGGTAGCGCGTACCTGTAGTTTCCGCTACTTGGAAGGCTGAGGCAGAAGGATTGCCAGAGCCCAGCAGGTCGAGGCTGCGGTGGCTGGGAGCGGCCACTGCACTCCAGTCTGAGTGACAGAGTGAGATTCCAACTCAAAAAAAAAAAAAAAAAATAGCAGGGTATGGTGGATGCACCTGTAGTCCCAGCCAGTTGGGAGGCTAAAGCAGAAAGATTGCCTGAGTCCAGGAGGTCAAGGCTGCAGTAATCTGTAATGGCACCACTGCACACCAGCCTGGGCAACGGAGTGAGATCCTTTCTCTTAGAAAAGGAAAAAAAAGAGTAAACACAAACTAATAAAGTCTGTAAGCCACAGATAAGCAGAATAACTTGTTTGGCTTTGGAATAAATTAAAATACACGCGCACACACCCACACATACATACACATTGCCCTTTTGATCTAGCTTGTCTCTGTCCTGCTTCAGTTTTTCTCAGTTGTCAAGGGTCTAGGATGTGGGTCAGTTGACAGTATGTCCTGGAGAGCCACCCTGGGCACTCTCAGAGGGAGGCAGATTCCCTATGAAGAGATGCCCACATCACATCCTGGCTTCATCAGAAGGCCTGGGTACAAGTCCTAAGTCTGTCTGTGCTGGCTCTGTGACCTGGGACAAGTCACTTCACCTCAGTGAAGTCTCTCGCCTGGCCTCTCCATCAGTACAGCAGGGTGGTTGGGATGGGACAGGGTTTCAGGATTCTAGATGGAGTTGCTTCTCTTGGACTGCCTAAAGAAAGCCAGTCACCCAGAACCTTGCTGGCTCCGAATCTCAATGCAATGTGCAATTGCAGGGAGGCTTGGTTGATTTTCTCATCCTGTGAAGAACTTGAGGCAGTTGAGTACTTGGATGACTCGGCCATTTGCTGGTCTGGATCACTCTCACCCTAGCCCATGTGATTCACCTAGCCCATGTGATTCACCCTAGCCCATGTGATTCACCCATAGGGAGGGTTGCAAACACACCCCAGCCTGCAGGTCTGAGAACAGGTTCATTCTGAACATTTACTTCCAGTCTTTTCTTCCCTTTGTCCTTGCCGTAGGACCATGGGGAACAAGAACAGGGTCAGAGGGGATGGGTGACACTGGAATGAACGCTCGCTGTGGGCCAATTTCCTCCTGTTCAGTCCCTGCCACTCATTTCCTAGGGCAGGGGATGTCTGTATGTGCGGTGACAACTTGTTCTCAGTTGATTTGGAGATACATTCCCTGACGTTTTTAAGCAACACATTTGTATTCCTAATAGGATTTGCTTCAGGTCATATTTAAGCAAGTCTGTAATCCTTGGGCGAGGACCTGGCCTCTGTTGATTCTTTCACTGCTGATAAACCCATTGAGTAATTGAGCCCACATGGGTAAGTGTGAGATGATTCTCAAGCCAGCCTCGTACAAATGTTCTTACGGATAATGAATGGTCGTACAAAGTATTTTCACCTATTATCTCTTTAAAACTCCTCAAAGTCCTGTGAGGATACCATGACTAGAGTCAGATGAGGAAGCTGAGCTTCAGATAGTGGCAAAGGATTTGGACCCTGATCCTAGAGTCCCAGTGGACCACCACTGTCTCCTCCACGGCTGCAGGTGGACTACGAGCTTTCAGAGGCCCAGTGAGCCCCAGGTGGGGAGGCAGCTCCCAGGCCACCCTCTTGTGCGTGCTTCTGAGCTCCCAGGGAAGAGAGGTGCAGATAGGTTTTTAGTCCCCAATAGCTGTGACCCATAGAGTGACTTGACTTTCTCAAAGTCCCAGGCCAGGAAACAGAGGCTGTGGGAAGAACCCAGAGAGGGTGGGGTCAAGGAGGAGATTGCCACCGACTTGAAGGAGAGCAAGTTGGAGTCCTAGCACCTAGGAATTTGAGCCCACCAGCACTGCACAGGGCTTCGTGAGGCTGAGGACTCTGCTGAGACCTCAGAGAGGCGGGGACAGGGAGTGCTCCGAAGAGGCGAAAACATTTTGTCCTGGAGCCTTCTCAGTCTGTGCAAGACAGGAAATTCCTCAACTCTCCCGAGGCATCCAACTTTTCTGGCTGTTGCAGCCCAGTCAGAGAACCGAGATAGATCTCTGTGTTTCCAGTGCCGGGCCTCCTAAGCCCACTCCCAGGACCTTCTGCCAAGGCCCCCTGGCTGCCTTCTGTCAAGTGCTGCCATGCCTGTGTCAGGGGCACAGGAAAACAGCAGGGGCCTGAGCGCCCCAGCTCCCATGGGGACCGCGGGGTTACCTGCCTTTTCACTCAGACCCCATGTCCTTCAGACTGCACCTGCTTTGGGGGAAGTTTTTCTCTGGCTTCCTGGGCCTCCCCAGTCGCTCCCCATCCACAGAGACTGGACTAGAGAGCTCTACCACATGCCCGATTCTGTTTTCAGTAGCAAGTTTGCAGTTAGGCCTTGCCCAAATATGTAGCACACCCTAGAAACATACCCCCATGGCTCTGCTTCCTGGAGGAGGTCTGGCATTTGTGGCTCTGTGCTGATAAGACTCCAAAACACCAGAAGCCCTTTCCCCAAAACTTGGAGTTGAAGTTAAAGATACGTTAGATAGACATGTTAGCCCTCCCCTTCTCAACTGCTATACCTGACGAAAACAAAAGCCAAAACAGCTAAAAGGGAACTACTGAAAGTCAGAGCTGCCTGGCTCACAGGACCCAGGGAAAGTCGAGAGGCTGGGCCCATCCTACACCCGGGCTATCCTGTGTGGGACTAGACCGCCAGCCACCACCACCCTGTGGCCCCTCTTCTGCAGCTCCTAGGAGCTGGGTCAGAGCCCAGTGGGAGAGGATTCCAAGAAGGAGGAAAGGCTTGTTTGCTAATCTTTCTCCACAGGGGACTGAATAGGCGTGAGTAGGCCAGCCCTTTTATCCCTGTCCTTGACTTTGCTGGTACCGCCTCCCTCCCTCTCTCAGAGACACTGATTTTTTTTTCTCCCAGTTCTTACTAAGGTATTATGGATGTACAATCAACTGTATTTGTTTAAGTGTTAAATTGGGTAAATTTTGATATATGTCACATCTACGAAAACTTCACCACGATTTTAAAATATGAACTGCTTCATCACCCCCAAATGTTTCCTCATGCCGTTTGCTTTAGAGTCTGGCCCCATCCCTGCCCCACACCACCACTGATCTGCTTTCCATCACCAAACTTTGCATTTTCTAGAATTTTATATAAATGGAATCATCCAATATGTAATCTTTCTTTGTCCAGCTTTTCTCATTCAACATAATTATTGTGCAAGTCATCGTCTCTGTTGTGGTGTTTCTCAATAGCTCATTCTTTTCATTGTTGAGTAATATTCCATTGTCTGGACATATAACAATTTGTTTATATTCACCTTTGAGTTCTTTCCATTGTGGGCTTTTGTGAATAATGCTGCTGTGAACGTTTATGTACAAGCCTTTATCTGGATATGTGCTTACATTTCTCTTGGGTAAATACCCAGGAGTAGAATTACTGGATCATAAGGGAAGTGTGTTGAACTTTTTAAGGAACTACCAAACTGTTTTCAGAAGATTCTGTGCCTTTTTGTACTCCCACCAGCAGTACATGAGAGTTTCAAGTTACTCTACATCCTCACCAATACCAATCCTTACCATGTGATGTCTTTTTAGTTGTAGCCATTCTAATGGGTGTGGTGTCTTTGGAATGTGCTTAAAATCTCCTAGGATGGCAATGGAGCACCACACAATTATAGAAAATGATAAGGAAGCTCTTCAATTCTGTTTTAGGAAAGTCACCAAGATATATTATTAAGTTAAAAAACGATGCCTTGAGCCCAGGAGTTTGAGATCAGCCTGGGCAACACAGAGAGACCTCCTCCCTATAAAAAATAAAAATTAGTCGGGCATGGTGGTGTGTGCCTGTCGTCCCAGCTACTCAGGGGGATAAGACAGGAGAATCATCTAAGCCCAGTAACAGAGGAAGACCCTGTCTCAAAAAACAACAAAAAAAGAAATAAACAAGATGTCAACCATTGTGTATAGTGTGCTTAAATTATTTTCTGAGGAAAAAAATTTTAAAATATATACATATTTCCTTCTGTATGTTATACACATAGGTCCTCTTTGGCAAGATGAACAAGAAACTGAAAAGTGGTGGCCTCCAAGGAGAGATAGTGGTGGCAGGAGGACAGGGTTGGGAGGAGACTTTATACACACTCTTTGGTGCCTTTTGAATTGTGTGCCATGGGAGTGTATCACTTATTCAAAAGAGTAACTAAAAGTATTTTTAAAAACCACAAGATGCCAAGTGTTAGCCTCCTGCCTTGAAGTTCTCTGGAGGAAGCAGAGCCTGAATGGGTCATGGCCCTAGAGATCTCGTTGTTCTCTGCTATCAGGCAAGAGTACTATCGGTCGAGCTCGGTGGCTCAGCCTGTAATCCCAGCACTTTGGGAGGCCGAGGTGAGTGGATTGCCTGAGCCTGCGGGTTGGAGACTCACCTGGGCAACTTGGCGAGACCTGTCTCTACAATAAATCAAAAACTAGCCGGGTGTGGTAGCGCACACCTGTAGCTCCAGCTTCTTGGAAGGCTGAGGCGGAAGGATCGCCGGAGCCCAGCAGGGCGAGGCTGCGGTGGCCAGGAACATGCCACTGCACTCCAGGATGAGCGACAGAATGAAACAATGACTCAAAAAAAAAAAAGCACTATCATACCAAGCAGAGAAACTGGGCACATTTAGTTCCTCGTGGTCTCCAGAGCCTCCAGACACCCTTTGTCTGTTAGCTGTCAGTTTCTGGTGGGAACGTGAGCCTCAACACAGTCATGAACAGAGTGGTCTTTTAGTCTGTGTTTGTTGAATGAATGAACATTCACTGCATGTTCCATTGTCTACCACACAGAGAAGAAGAATGACAGGAAGAGTGAGTACCTTGTGCCCGTGACTCCCAGCAAGCCCATCGCGCCCATCTTCCTGCGGGGCCTCTCTGATCTCAAAGTCATGGATGGAAGCCAGGTCACCATGACAGTCCAGGTGTCAGGTCTGTCCCTGCAGCTCTCTCTCAGGGGTTTATGTGAAAATGTCATGGTTGCGATGGATTTTGCTCCCAGGGCCTGCTCAGACCGTTGATCCACCAGAAAATCAGATGAGACCATAAAGAGATGGACCCAAAGAAGTTGCAACTCTTAGCCTCTCTTTCCTGTCTTCTCTGGGTTAAATGGTACAGGGGTTAAAGATGGCCATAGCTAGAGCAGTAAGGGATTCATTTGAAAACACAGTGTGACCAATGGAGCTGGAAGGTTTTGAAAATAAAACTCAAACTATGTGAGGACTTCCCAACTCTCAGAAGATATTCTCATTTGCTCTATTCAGGTTTTAAGGTGAGAGGATGGAACAGCGGTCCTTCTAAAACAGGTGCAGGGAAATGAGAGCGTGTGACTAGCATCCTGGTCTGAGATATCATGGTCCTTGCCAGAGGTGAGCAAGAGAACCCTGGGAAAGCTCCTGGCACAGTGCCCGAGCCCGGGAGCAGCCATAGTTGGCCACTGAGTGCATGAATAGCTGTTGGCCACTGATCAGTGCCTCTCACAGCCTGGAGGTCGCTTTCTGGTTTGGTTTCTTAGTTCCTCTTGAGCTGCAGAACCAATAAAGATAAGCTATGAGAGAACCCAAGGGCGCAGATGGTCTTCCTGCTCCTCCAGGCTGGAGGCCATCCTGTGACAGTCCCAGGCATAGGGCTGAGTCCCCTGCCCTGTCCACACTCACCGTGCTACATTCTGAATCCTTGAGTTGGAAGTGATGGGAGGCGCTCTGCACCTGCCTCCAGGCATATGCTGTCTGGCCTCCAAGCATGGCAAACAGAAGGCCCGTCTACTCTCTCCAGAGCCTCTCTAAGGCCTGGCACTATACAGCCTGCCTCAGCAGCCCACTCTAGGGCCTTGCTTCTCTGGAAACAGAGCTGCTGGCTCAGCTCTTACCTCAGAGGAAAACCTCACAGATGGCTGTTTGTTTATGCCCCCAACCAATCCCTAGAAACTGTCCAGAAAAGTAGCCTAGTAAAAACTGAAAATGCCATCCACCTGTGCAAGCCAGTGTCCATCTTTACCCTGGAATGACGTTTGTATGGTAACAAAATGAGCCCTCTTTCTGGTGAAAATATGCAAAGGAATTACTGGGAAGTTACCATTGCCTGGATACAGGTGCACCATGTGAGGCCATGCAGAGCAGAAAACACATTCCGCTTCAATCAGGAGTCCAGTTACACTTAGGAGTATCATCAAGCAGTTTGAATTCTAATTTTACTTGTCTGTTTTTTGTTTTGCTTTTTGTTGTTGTTCTCTTGTTTTTCTGAGTCAGGGTGTCACTCTGTTGCCCAGTATGGAGCTCAGAGGCACAATCACAACTTACCACAGCCTTGGCCTCCTGGGCTCCGGTGATCCTCCCACCTTAGCCTCCTGAGTAGCTGGGACTATAGGTGTGTGCCACCATGCCCAGCAAATTTTTTTATTTTTTGTACAGATGAGGCTTGTTATGTTACCCAGGCTGGTCTTGAACTCCTGGGCTCAAGTCATACCCCTGCCTCGGCTTTCCAAAGTGCTGGAATGACAGGTGTGAGCCACCACACTCAGCCTAAATTCTAATTTTAAAAACCTTTCTTCCTGGGTTTTCTTTTTCATCTCTCAAATTATATTTTCACTCCTGAGTTCTTCCTGTTCCCCCAAGTCTGTTGTTAAATAATTCTCATGAACTTGTATGGGGTGTTTTCTTTATGCCAGATACTGTTCTTACCTGTTGTCCTAATAGACTACCAGGTTTGAGTAACTCATTTAGACCCCCAACAAACCTACAAGGTAGATGCTACTAGAATCCCTATTTTAATGTCTGGTCTCAGTGGCTGATGCTGATGAGAGGCCAAGGTGGGAGGATCTCTTGAGGACAGGAGTTTGAGACCAACCTGGGCAAGACCCTATCTCTACAAAAAAAAATTAAAATTAAAATTGGCTTGGCTGAGTGGTGTATGCCTGTAGTCCTAACTACTTAGGAGACTGAGGCAGAAGGATCCCTTGAGCCCAGGAGGTTGAGACTGCAGTGAACTATGAGCAAGACCTGTCTCTAAAAAAGAAGAAGAAGAATCTATTTTACAGATGGGGAAACTGAAGTGTATTGGAATGCATAGTACACTATCACAGTATTAAGTGCAGAGTTGCCCTGTGGCCAGGGAAGGTCCTCCCTGACAAGATCCCCTGCCTCTCTTCCTGGTTCAGGGAATCCACCCCCTGAAGTCATCTGGCTTCACAACGGGAATGAGATCCAGGAGTCAGAAGACTTCCACTTTGAACAGAGAGGCACTCAGCACAGCCTTTGTATCCAGGAAGTGTTCCCAGAGGACACGGGCACGTACACCTGCGAGGCCTGGAACAGCGCTGGAGAGGTCCGTACCCAGGCTGTGCTCACGGTGCAAGGTGAGGCTGGCCCACACAGAGTAGGTGGGGAGGAGGTGCTGCCATGACCTCTCCAGAAGTGATTTGGAGGTGAGAAAACCACCTGCTTTGTTCCAACCATGCACCCTCTGCTCCCTTGGTTCCACCCCAACCCCAGAGGACAGCTCCCTATCCTGCATCACAAGCTCTGGCTGGGTAGGGCTGGCCTTCCCAGCTTTTTGAAGTCCCTTTCCTCTCTGAGTTACTGGTGACAAGCTGCATAAAGTGCTAAAGGGGAAATCTGTAATACACCCAACAATTTGGCAGTGATAGCTTTTGAGGTAAGTTATGAGCTCATCAGGATCCTTGCCCTTCGAGAATTTATATTTAAGAGGAGAGACAAGTTCAGTACACGTGAAGCCAGTGAGAACTCATAATCATAAACATCGGGTTTAGTTTAGCACCTACCCCAGTGCCCTGTGCTTTCTTTGCTTTGAATACACAAATTCATGTTAATATTATCCTCTGAGAAGTTAACCAAGATGGATTTGCAATGAAAAGGATATGCTGTATTTGTGTTTCTAATCAAAGCAATTCCTGGACAAGCTGTTACTTGGTGTCACACTGTCCTCCCATCCTTCACACCATGGAGAATTGTGTGGGCCTCCCTCCCTAACCCTAACCCTTTGCCAACTTCCAGAGCCTCATGATGGCACCCAGCCCTGGTTCATCAGCAAGCCTCGCTCAGTGACGGCCTCCCTGGGCCAGAGTGTCCTCATCTCCTGCGCCATAGCTGGTGACCCCTTTCCTACCGTGCACTGGCTCCGAGATGGCAAAGCCCTCTCCAAAGACACTGGCCACTTCGAGGTGCTTCAGAATGAGGACGTGTTCACCCTGGTTCTAAAGAACGTGCAGTCCTGGCACGCCGGCCAGTATGAGATCCTGCTCAAGTGAGTCTACATGTCCTGCCAGCCTCCACAGCCTCTTCCCTCCAAATTCCTAGCTCCCCTAACCTGGGCCTGGGAAGCCAAGGGAAGCACAAGCTGATGTGGGGCTTGGACATGAAGATAAAGCATGCGCAGGCTCGGTGCTACTGACAAGCTTTTGTTTCTTCCACTTCAGTACGGCAGATGTTCACTGAGAACCTTCTCTTCTGAACTCAGATCCTCAGAATCCTCTGTCTTGTTAAATGCTAGATTTTGTTGCCCCATGATGTGTTGTATGAAGAATATGAAGGAGGGAGGAGTGGACTGAAGTTGAAAAAGCAAGAGGATAGATGGAATGTATTTGTCATCTATTGCTGTATAACAAACTACCCCAAAACGTAGCAGCTTGAAACAACAAACCATTTACTATCTCACAGTTGCTGTGGGCTGGGAATTTGGAAGCAGCTTAGCTGGATGATTTTGGAGTTGCAGGCAGTATGTCAGCAGGGGCTGCAGTCTCTGAAGGCTTGACTAACACTGGAGGACCCACTTCTAAGATGTCTCACTCACTTGACTGTTGGTCTGAGGTCCCAGCTCCTCATTGGCTGTTGGTGGGAGGCCTCAACTCCTTGCCTTGTGGACCTCTCCATAGGAATGCTTGAGTGTCTTGCTTGCATGGCAGCTGGCCTCTCTAGTGATCTGAGAGAGAACACAAGTTGGAGCTTGTAATATCTTTTATGACCTACCCTCAGAAGCCACACACCATCACTCCCAACTTTATATTAGTTAGAAGTGAGTTCAAAAGTACAGCTCACACACAGGGAGGGAACTAAGTTCTACCTCTTAGCGAGAGGAGTGTCAAAGGATGTGTAGACATTTCAAAACCACTACAGGGGGGTTAACTTTCTCCGTACCTCTAGGTTATATTGAAAGGTCAGCTCCATGAAGCACGCTGCTATGTTTCCAGGCCTAGGACAGTGTCTAAACCATAGTCAGCACTCGGTGGCTATTTGTTAAGTGAATGTGATTCAGAAATGTTCTTTTACCTTTTTAAAAAATTTGTATTATAACAATGTGGGGTACAATTCAGGGTTAGGTATATAAACATTGATCATGCAGGTACCCTTGTTGATGAGGTTTGCCCCTCCCTCCCCTAGCAATTTCCCTCAACTGCCAATCCCACCCCCCCTTTACCTTTAAAATGCACCAACTCTTCAAATTCTATGCCAACTCAGGATTAATGGAGATAGAATGCCTGCTCTGGGCCCTGGGGTTGGTATGAGCATTGAGGAAGAGTATGTATCTGCACCTGATCTACAAATTGGCAGTTGTGCCACATCTGAGGGTGGTTAGACCTGCCCTGGTTCAAGTACCTGATAGCTTTGCATGGGACTTTCTCTCCTGCATTTTATCATTTCTCCATATGTAGCCCATCATGTTCACAGCTCTGAGCTACACATAGGCGCTATAGCTAACTGCCAAGGCTACTGCAAAACCCAGTATGTACCCCATCCCCTTGGGTCCTTTTTGGGCATGTGCTTTATACTTGTATCAGTTAGCTTTTGCTGCATAACAAACTACCCCAATACTTAGTGGCCTTTAAATTAAAATAACTTTTTTTAAAAATCCATTTATTGTTTCTTAGGAGTCTTTGGGTCTGTTAGGATGTTCTGCTGATCCGGGCAAGGCTCAAAGAATCTCAGCTGAGCTTAGTGTCATGCCTGTGGTCAGCTGGTGGGATGCCTGTGGTCAGCTGCTGGGATGGCTGTGGGCTACTGGTCACCCTACTATTATTAGCAGTATGCTCAGAACACATCAACTGCCTTTGCCTGGTGTCTGAACTAGTTATTACCAGGAAGGCAAATCTGTCTCCAAAATGGGGAGAAGGTACACTCTTACTCCTTAGGTCAATATAAAGAATGGAAACCGATGATATGTAAAAATGCTTGTCTGTACAGAAGAAATAGTACTTTGAGACAATACTCACGTTACTCCAGTCAGACATCCTAGAGGAGGTGAACTTTATGTAGGATTTTGAGGAAAAAGGAAAGTCTGAGTCTTGGCAAATGAGAAAAGGCTTGGTCGTTGAATGAGCTGAGCAAGAAAGGGTGCAGGAGGAGGGCAGAACAAAGCAGAGGGCCATGGGAAGTCTGCCAGGCCAGAGAGGAGGGTTGTATTGGGAGGACGGCAGGCAGACTGGGGTCAGCTAAGGACAGCCATAAAACTTAGACTGTCCCAGCTGGAAGGGACTTCAGACGTTATCTAGCCTTATCCTCATTTAATAATGGGGGAAACTGAGGTTTCAGGGTCATGACTTGCTCTTGGCCACCCAAAGGTAAGTAGCAGAGCCCAAGTTCAATCCTTCATCTTTTTTTTTGGGGGGGGAGTCTCAGTCTCACTCTGTCACCCAGACTGGAGTGCAGTGACACGCTCACGGCCACCGCAGCCTCGACCTGCTGGGATTAGGTGATCCTTCCACCTCAGCCTTCCAAGTAACTGGAACTACAGGCACACACCACCATGCCCAGCTAATTTTTTTATTTCTTGTAGAGATGAGGTCTCGCCAAGTTACCCAGGCTGGTCTTGAACCCGTGGGCTCAGGCAATCCTCTCACCTCGGCCTCCCAAAGTACTGGGATGAGGTGTGAGCCACCGCACCCCGCCCAGACCTTTATCTTTTTACTCAAATCAGAGGCTCTTCCATTCCTTATGGCCCTGCACCAGAATACAGGGCCAAGTACACAGAGAGAGTTTGGAGGACCTGGGAAACCACAGTGGAGTCTCTACCCAGGCAGCTCTTGCCTCTTCTTCCTCCCAAAAGTCCAGCCTCTTCATTCCTTTGGGAGGCTGCTGCCCTGGCCTTGGCTTTGTCCCCAGCTCAGAAGAAGCAAGTCAGTGGAGGGATCCCCTGAGGAGTGTGCGCCAGGCCTGCTGGGGGCCTTACTCCCCGAGCTTGTCTCATCCTGACAGAAGTCAGACATAGACGCAGAGCTGAGTGCCTTTTGAGGGGGATGACTGGATGGCAGATAGGAAGCCAGGGGTCCGGTGTGCAGGGGTGTGGGTGGGGGCAAGTCCTGTCTATTCCTGCTGAAACTGTGAGGCAGATATGGATGAATGGTTTCTACCTCCCTTCCCCTGCCTAGCTCTTGCCTCCTGTACCAAAAGGGGAGATGTCAAAAAGTCAGTTCCCAATTCTAGTTGAAATGTTTGAAAAATTTATTCTTGCCAGGAAGTTAGTTCTTTAAACTGATTTTGCATATAAAAGTCACAGGATGAACAGAGAGGGACAGGATCCAAGACTTTGTAACCAAGGAATGAGCTTCTTATTTGCGGCTTGGGAAGCAGGAGCAAAAGGGCTCTGTTAGTTGGTGAAAGGTGCAGTATATAGGATTGGTAGCCCCAGACCTCTGTGGCAGCACCTGGGAGGAGCCTCTTCTTAAGCCCCAGACCTGACTTTGTAACTGGGCATGTGCAAATGTCAAAGATGGCCCCAAGACTCTGTTCCAGCTGGTCAGGTTGTCTGCCATGTGGGTCTCAGGCAAGAGGCCACTCTGAACTTTTTAGGCTGCAAACTTACCCGATTTGCCTTAAAGACCCAGCAGAGACGTCCATTTATGGTCATAGAAACAGTTACCCTTTGATTACCTCCTAAGGGATGATCTGCTTAGTGGGCCAGCCTTGATATCCCAAGTTCTCTACCTTCCTCTGACCCCCTCAGACTGCCCGGGTACCACAGCGTGAGACCTGGGGACGGATTGACCAGGGGACCTTGAGAAGTTTTCTTGAGTCTGTGTTCCCCACCTGGAGCACAGGTCATGGAAAATGACAGAAACCCTTACCTGCGTCCCCCACAGGGAGAAGCTGCTTACTCTAGATCAGGGGATGGGCCCCCCATTCAATGCTTTCAAGGATCTGGCTGAGGTAAAGCAGGGCCATTTGCGCAGTGTCTTCTCCTGATATCTGCATCTGGGCTGTGTTATACTTGTGATAGGAGGAAACTCAACTGAGCCAATGTTGAAAGAGCTTCTGGGCAATCACAGCCCTTGGGCATCTGGTCTTTCTGCTCCATGACAACCCCAGGCACCACAATGCTCTGCTTGAAAGAAAATTAGGGAAAGAGAGCCCCAACACCAGTCAGCAGCCTGGCCCCATCCCCAATGTGACCTCATGAGGTTTTTCTACAAGCTGACCCAACCCCATAAGTCTTTCGGAGTGTTGAGAGCTCAGGGTGCTCTGAGGGCCTCTTAGGTTTCCCAGGGCCTGACACTAACAAGACGTGCTGTTTGTTGAGCAAAGGAGCACCCTGGACCTTAAAATTCCCCGGACATGAGGGCTCCCTGAACCCTGAATCTGTGAGGAGTGGGGCCAGGAGAGGATGGGCTATGGGGTGGGTGACTGGGGAGGAGAGAGAGGTGAAAGAGCTAAGGGATCTGCCAAGGCACCTGCATTGGCACAGCCTGGGACAAAATAAGGGCACTGGGGAGAGGGATAAAGGAGGATCCCATTCCTAAGCCTCCTGTCCTTATCTTTAAAATAGGCATGACAGTGTTCTACACCTCACTGGCATGTTGTAAGGAACAAGAAAGACCCCGAGTGTGGATATCATGAAAGCTGGAGGGAGCTGTATAAAGTGCAGTCGTGAGCCAGGCATGGTGGTGCATACCTGTAGTCCCAGCTACTCGGAAGGCTGAGGCAGGAGGATCGCTTGAGCCCAGGAGTTTGAGGTTGCAGTGAGTTATGGTGATGACACTACACTCCAGCTTGGGACGGAGTGAGACCTGGTCTCTAAATTAATTAATTTAATGAAATGATTGATTTTATGTAGTCGTTATGACCATCAAGAGTCAACTCTGGCTCTCAGACCTGCCTCCCCCTTCTCAGACCCCTTCTCCCCAGCCTGAACAGAAACTTTGCTGGCCAGAGCTCAGAATCGCCAGCAGATGGCAGCCTTGTGGGGCTGGAGGGATGATCCACCAGACGGCAAGGCACCCAGCAGAGGCAGAGGGGCCTCAGCTCGCCCTGCATCACAGGGAGACTGAACAGTTTTATGGACTTGAAGAATCCGGAGCCCTCCCCACCTGAAGGGAGAAGAGAAAGGGCCACCCATGTAGGAAAACCCCTGTTATTTTTTTTTTTTTTTTTT